TGTGTGTGCGTGCGTGTGTGTGTGTGGGCAAAATGCGCAACATGTGAATTCCACATGAGGCAAACGATTGCCACAGTAACCAGCAGAGGCAGCAGCAGCAGCAGCAGCACGGTCCCTTGAGTTCTGAAGATTTCATTTGTGCTACAGATGTTCAGAGATTGTACAACATAACTACACACACACGCACAGCGTTCCATCACACACACACTCACACTCAGTGGTAAAGTCACACGCAATTGAAGCAGCGGCATCTGCCAGCTACACTTCAGCATTTGGCTTCATCTTCAAGGCGCGTCGCACAGCAACTGCCGCTGAATTTTCGAGTGGCATTTGATTTTAGTATACGAGTGTGTGCACGAGTGTGCGTGTGTGTGAATCTGAAGTGCTGTAGAGAGGCATAAAAATTATTGCTGCCAACCGACTGAGTCAGTCAGTCATCAATTATTTTATAGAATGCTCACTTGTTTTTGCTGCCATTGTCTGACTGCCTGCCTGGCTGCCTGGCTGCCTGGCTGCTCCCCCAATCTTCAGTTCCTGCTTTTGTGGTGCGGGAAGTTTTAAAAGTTCTTTTCTTCACACACACACACACACAGTCACGTATATATATCTATATGTATACAGGAAGAAGCTGCGCAATAGTTGTGAAATTAAATTGAATACGACGCCGATTATCCCACGCAATCTTTCATTCATTCATTCAGCTGCTGCCTTTTGCTTCCACTATCTGCTGACTAGGAAGCCAGCCAGCCAGTCAGCCAGTCAGCTTGCATTGACTAAACTCCTCCGCCAAAGTTCAGAGGCGGAACTGCCCTCGCAGCGCACAATATAAGATGATTATATGCACACGCAATCTCTACTATCCAGCCATAAATCTAAAGCCCCTGTCTGTCCGTCTGTCTCTCAGTCTGTCTGTCTGTCTGTCATTCTGTCTGTCAGTCTCCCCTCTTTTGCCAAAAATCAATGCAAAGCCTTGCTGATATTTTCATCTCCCTACCGCTCTCTCTTTATCTCTTACCCTCTTTCGCTTTTTTTATGTCTTTTGCGGTTCCAATAAATAAAATCCATTCGATTATAAAGTGCACACACAATGAAATGCCGCTGATAAGCGCTTTACACAATCCATTTGGCCTACTTCAGTTCATTAAAAATCTATTTAAAACAAGTGCATTTGTCAGCTACTGCTGCTGTTTGTCTAATTGACTAGCAGTTACCCTGGAAATCGAGGGAATCTTTGGAAAATCACCGTTTATAAAATAATTCCTAGGGGTTCCTTAGTATTAAATATCAGTGAATGAGTACTCCCTAGCAAAAGTTTTTATTGTATTAAGTGAGTTTTAATGAAGGCATATCAAATGTTCTATATCATATGGTATAGTTCGCAAGATTGATATCAAGAACATATTCAAGAGAACAATTGTAAAAGTTAAATTTGTTTTAAATCTAACTTAAAGCAGTCTTTAGTTTAGTAGAATGGAAGGAGATATAGCAAATAAACACAGTTTAATTTCTTCTGATCATCTAAACGAACTTATTAATATCTGCCAATCTAATCAGTTGTTCTCTGAGGCCTTTCTCAGACCTTGAGTAAAAGACAGTTATTTGCAAGCAAAGACATATCTATCAATATATATGTATATATATATTTTAAATGATCAACTAGCTTTTATTTTATTTATCTCTTTAGGTTGCTTTGGATTATATTGTATAGATATAACAACAATTCTTGCAAATTTTACCTATAGAAAAACATATATCTCATTCCACTCTATGCTTCATTTAACCATAGACAGATGTCTTTCTACTATATGTAAAAAATTAAAAGCCATAAAGAATATATCTTTAACAACAGCATTATATGCAGAACCTATCTAAGAAGCCATTAAGAAAATATATGTAATGTAAATATCTATAGTCGAGTCATGTAATTTCAAAATTTGAAAATCATAAATGAATTTCAAGCCAAGTTTAAGCTTTCTGTTTTACTCAGCTAACAGATATATAGAAATGTACATATATAGATATATGTAAATATATATATATTTATTATATCATTAGTTTAGCCTTCAGTGAGCTTTGCCAGCAACTAAGCTTCACTTCTAAGCCCTCCAAGCACTTTACAGGGTATTAGAATGTGCAAACATGCATCAATATGCCAAAGTACACAGCCTGACTGTCTGATAAGACAGTCACTCAATATATGTACATATATATATATACACATAGAGATATATGTATACGTATATATGTACGCAGAAGTAGGTGGAGTAGGCGGCGTTCGATCGAAATTGTGAATCTGGCATTTAACGATTTTGATGTGGCACATTTTGATTAATCTTTACGAGCAGACAGCGGACAGCAGGAGTCGGGCTGGCAGGTTGTTCGCACAATTTTAATGGCTGCAGCCAGTCGATAATTATGCTCATAAATTTGCAACAGGAAGCTGCAACAAATAACAATTACGCACAAATTTTAATCAATCAGATGAGCCAGATATAAATTTATATAGATTTACTTTATATGTAATGTAATCTTGTGTGGAGGCTAAATAATGAATGCCTAGCTGACCAAAAAACTAATTTATTTAAGCAGTAGAGCAAATATGAAAGAGATAGAGCACACATACACATACATATATATATGAGTGTGCGTGTGTGTGTGTGTTAAGAGAGCCTGCTCAAACATGAGTCTAGACAAATCGAAAACAATAACCAACTTCAAGATTTGGCTATAATTGAATGCACACAAACAAGGCCGAGTCTGTGTGTGTGTGTGCCGTAGGGAATACTATTATAATAATCTGACCAGCACACACACACATGCCTGCGTATATTGACAGACACTCAAGTGTCCACAAGCACCCTGTAAATCCAATTGAATTACGCATAAAAGGCGCTTAAACCAAAAGAAATGAGGCTCGTGACGATGTCGATGATGAGCTAGCAGAGCCACAACGGAGTGGGAGAACTCTTCTTATATATGCACACACACACCCTATATATACTATATATATTTGTATGTTATTTCCTTTTAATTCTCTTATTACCCGATATGTTATGGCCAAGCGTGGCTACTGTCTCGGCTCGCGTTTTTCGGCCCCATCATAAATACATTTGACAACGCGCCGCATTTCCGCAACATTTACATATCGGCTTGCTTAACTATGTAGAAGCCCCATATGCAGGCATTAAAAAAAACTTTAACGTAAGTGAAGAAGCAGTAAAATGGTAAAAAAGAGAGAGAGAGAGAGAGAGAGAAAGAAGTTTGTGTGTGAGTGCGCCGTGGGCTTCAGTTTAAACTTATGCATGATTAATGCATAATTACAAAGGCAAACACATAAACTCCAAAGTTGGGGCTGGAGTTGGAACTGTAGCTGTAGCTACAGCCGGGGCTCAGCCTATCTAGCCAAAGACAAAGGGCTGCCAGTTCCCACACAAAGCACGTCCTGCAATGGTGCGGGCCTGAGGTTAGCCATCCCCAGCTATCTATCTATCGACGCACTCACTGGTCATGGCTATAAGTACTTATGTATACATAGCTGTTATTAATATTTCGATTCGGTACCAGCGATTCGTAGAACTTGACACATGACTTGCATAACAAATAAGACAATTGCTGTGCGTGTGTGTGTGTGTGTGTGTGTGCACCTCTCTTTTAGAATCTTGGGGCATATCGCTTAGCCTGGCCTAATAGACTGATTGATGATGACAAACTTTCGAGTTGCGGCAGTACAGAAAATCGATGGAGTTGCCAACGCAGGATGTCGTACACAAAAGATGGTGAACTGAAGTGTCTTAATGGCTGAGAGGCGGGCCCTTCCCTTCTTATGCAACATGATATTCACATTTACTTTGGTCATTTGATACCTATATTTGATGTAAATTTTAAGAAATTTACATTGGATTCGTGTTTAATGATTTCTTGATTGAGTTTTCGAGTAGATGTAAACAAAGTGTAATGGAATAGAATATGCTCAGATTCTCAAAAGATTGATGAGTCATGGTTGGAGTATTTATAGCAGTAGAAGCAGTTTCATATATCAATTGCAAATGGTTTTCTAATCAACTTTCTAAGAATTGCTTTGAATAACTTTTTAGTTAATGAGCAAATCATGCATATAGATTATTATGAAGGAATTGATAAGGAACAAAGGAAGTAAAAAACGTTTAATGTAAGTTAAGTGTATTGCTTAGAGATCTAGATATTATAGAGTTCTTTATCCACTGGGAAAGCTCTAAATTCGAAATCTCTATATAATACAATATATTCGTATCGAAATTCTAGCTCAATATTTCAACCACTCTCAAGATCTTTCTCGCATTATTTTTGTTCAAACTTTCAATACGAATTTAGTTTTAAGTTTTCTATAATATAGAGTTGAATGTAGTGGAAACCTTTTCACCTATCTATTTTCAACAATTTCGATTAATGCCAATCAAATACAATTTCAGTCTTTAAACGGAAAATTCCCTTTCTCGAAGCTAGCGCACAACCTTGATTTGATTCACTTTATCTTGCCCATTTCCAACTCAATTTCCTCAATCAAAACATTCGAATAGAGTGGGCTGTCACAACTTCCTGTGCCGCGCTGCAGGCCGGAGTAGGTGATTAGCCCAGTCGCATTGACTGAAACAAATTAAACGTTGGGCATAATGATTATAAATGCGTTGTTGTAGGTGCCGCTGCCTCCCTCTCGCTATCTCCCTTTCTCTCCCACTCTCTCTGTCTCTCTGTCTTGCGGTGTGTGTGTGCGCCTCGCTTGGAAGATATGAACACTTTAGTCCATTCATGGACACTTTTTCCAGTTTGACTTTGACAAACATGCGCTGCGGCTAAAATTGCATGCAAGCAAGAAGCAGAGAAGCAGAGAAGAAGTTGAACTGAAGTAGTTGAGCTGTAGCTGTTTAGTGTTAGCTGACATACGAGAATGGAATGCCACTGATGTACGTGCTGCGTTAAGAGACATTTTTACTTTAATGCATTTCTCTTATCTGACTTTACAGATCTTGCCTGAACCAAAGGCAGCTAATGCTAGCAGACAGCACAAGAGGAGGAGGCACCAACAGCAGCAGCAGCAGCAGCAGCAGCAGCAGGTGCAGCAGGTGCACAGGAAGCGCAGGACAAGTGATAACAAAAAAAAAAAAATAGAAACTGACAACGAATTGTAAACGAGGAATCAACGAAAAGAAAGTAACAACAAACATGATGTCATTGTTGTTAGGCAAAGCCGGAAATGTGATTATAGTATTAGTCAGCCTGCAGCTAATCTGGCTGGCCAGCTGTCGCGAGCTGCCGCTGGATTATGGCAGCAGCAACTCCGCCTCGCTGGAGGACGGCGAAGACGTTGCCACCGAGCAGACAGCGCCGCAGCAGCGGCTCAATCTCGACGCGACGGTGAACAGCAGCGAGGACAGTCGCACTTCCGCCTCGGCCACCGTGTCGGGCTCCTCGCTGCTGGAGGAGTTCAATGCCGGCAAGCTGAATACGGCCGAGGCCAGCAATACACTGCCCATATTTCTCAGCGAGCCCGAGAGCGTCTTCGTGGTCAAGAATCGGCCGGCGGTGCTCAAGTGCAAGGCGTCGCACGCCCTCCAGCTGCACTTCAAGTGCAGCGGCAGCTCCCAGCCGCCGCCCTCGACGCACGACAAGCACGTGGATCCGCACACAGGTGTGCACATGGAGGAGGTCACCGCCACCATACATCGCGATCTCGTCGACGAGTACTTCGGCAAGGGGCCCTTCAAATGCGAGTGCCAGGCGTGGTCGTCGCGCGGCGTGGTCAAAAGTCAGTCGGCCACGGTCCATATTGCATGTGAGTATTTTTTTGAGGGGGAAGGGAGCGTTGCAGCTAGAGATGGGCGCGTGTCGTACTTGAGAGTTAAACGTAGCGTGACGTGAAACTCGTGAGCATTCTAGCAGAGCTAAGCCTGACTTTTTCGACTCGCTTTATATCTTATTTCTAGATTACATTTTTATGTTTCTCGCATCTATATTCGTGCTCGTGTTTGTTATCCCTCTCGTGCTCGTGCTTTTCATGCTATTTAATGTGCATATTCCTAAGTAATACATATATCGTATCGGTATTTAAATTCATCTTGTAGCTCTCTCTGAACTATATAGACTCTACTCATATTCATACTCATCATGATGATCTATTCACAGTACTATATTTGTCCTATGTAGTACTCAACTATTCACTATCGTGTTCATGAAACTTAGATATGTATATGTAAATTCACATATTTTGTTCAAGTCCTTTCATATTTGTAATTCATTTTTCGTGTTCGAATCGTGTCGCGTTAAATATTATTGTTTCTGAAGATGGAATATCATTTTCAACCACTTCGTATCGAGAGAAACAAGCACAAAGCAAATGCGATTCTAGTTTGATCTATCAATGTATTTGAGAGTGTTCATATTTGTTCATCAATTCTATTAGCCTAATGTTAGATATCGTTTAATTAGAGCTCATGCTGGTAGCTCCAGTAGTATGCAAGAGGCTATCTTCTAGCACATTCATTTAGTATCACAATCCTTTCCCGTACACACACCCATCACTAGCTTTTTTTCCCACCACCACTTCCTGCAGCTGCAGTACCCAACGTACCCTAATGCTAACCCAACTCTTTCCCTTGCAGACATTCGCAAGTCCTTTGGTCAGTCGCCCACCTCGCTGCGCCTGGAGCTGGGCAGCCGAGCGGAACTGCATTGCGAGCCGCCTGGCGGCTTCCCGGAGCCGAAGCTCAGTTGGCACAAGAATAATGCGCTGGTAACTGGCGACAGTGATACGGGCATCACTGTCACCGGCAGTACGCTCACCATACGCCAGGTGGCGCTGCATCATATGGCCAACTACAGCTGCAGTGCCGAAAACTTGGCCGGCAAACGTGTCTCCGACTCTGCCGTACTCATTGTCTATGGTCAGTAAATGCTGAACGATATATATTTTATGAACTACCTGTACCAACCGTCTGTCTCTCCTGTTTTCCACCCACAGTAAATGGCGGCTGGAGTGCCTGGAGCCCTTGGCGCGAGTGCAAATGTAGCGGTAAACCGAGCCAGGGACGCAAACGAACGCGCACCTGCACGAATCCGATGCCCTTGAATGGCGGCGCACAGTGTGCGGGTCCGCAGATCCAAAAGTCGGCTGACTGTGCCGCATGTCCAGGTAAAACCGAAAACTGCGTTTCCTCTGGTTAGCCGCAAATTGTGAGAATGCGCGGGGAGCGGGGAGCGGGTAAACCGGGAGTTGTATAACGTTTTAAAGTGTAACCGTAATTGAAGTGCCAACAACAAAAATTGTCAATTTAAATGGCAGCGGGCGTTGCCACCTGAGTCCCTGCGAACTGACAACTCCCTTTGCCAGCCAGAGCCACCTCACACCACACCACACCACCCACAGCATAGCGCCCATTGTGTGTGAGCCACGCACATTTTTCACACCCAGCCAAACGAGCCGAAGCTGCGAGGCTGCGAGCCGTCCAACACACAAAGCACAAAGCACTGCGCCGCAAAAGTTCAAGAGGGCGTTCCAAAAAAAGAAACAACAGAATGTGGCAGGAGCTAAAAGTGCGCGTCGTCAAACGAAGCGGGAATACACTTACCTAATTATTGTTTAGGTGGAAACTACTTGGAGTGAGGAAATGGGGAAAATGAGGAAGTTAAGGTTGCAGTGAGTTGATTTCCTTATCAAGTGCAAGCTTAAGGCAGGTTTAGGTATCATAAGAGTAGAGATATTAGGGCAGAAGTTAAAGAACTGAGAGCATGCTTATGTACTTTCGTTAAGCAATGAATCAAAAGTTCCTAAAAACTAATTTCATATAGTTCAGGATTTCAGAAAGCAAAGATTCCTAAAAACTAATGACATTTGGTTTAGAATTCCTCGAGAATTTGTATCAATAGCATTGAAATATAAATTTCTTACCATATATAACTTCTTTTAGAATCTGGGTTCCTTTCTGAAAATATAAAAATTGAGCAATTTGTTTAGTTAGCTAATATAAATAAAATATGATACATTAGTTAGATTACAAATATATTATAATTTGTTTAGGTTATGCTGAAACAAATATGAGTTTAAAATCTTATGCGATTATTGATTATATGATTATATGATTCTCGAAAATATTAAATAATCTCAGTCATTTATATAGGGAGAAACTATTCTCAATAACTCAATAACTCAATATAAAGGATATTTTATAGAAAAACTGAAATTGATGAACACATTTTATATAAAAGGTCATATATATGTACATCTTCATATATTCTTATGTAGATGATTATTGCACAAACCAACTCAATTAATAGCAATTAAATACATAATTTGATTTTATTCCGGGAACTTGAGAGCCAACCAACAAAATTTCACAGGTCAAAGCTTCTGAGGTATTCGCACTGCCCCGCATTTAAACAATAGTCCAATAAATTTGTGAGTGAGCGCCGAGTATTTCATTTTAAACACGCATTCGACTGCGTCTGCTATTGTGAAGTAGCTGCTGCTGCTGCTGCCTTTTGAAACGACGACAGATATCTCCACACGAGATATAACTGTATATGCGTATATATAGATGGATAGATTGGGAATGGACAGGAGGCGGGGCAGAGACTTCTATGGACCTGGGGGCGTCTGCTGGCGGCATAGTCAGTCATCAGGCGCTGACTAAATGGTGACAAAAGGCAAAGCCAATGGCAGGGGTAGGTTGAGGGAGAGAGACAGCAACAGAGACAGAGACAGAGACAGAGACAGGGACAGGGGCAAGGGCAAGCCATGGAGCTAGAGCCTAAGGGGATGGCTGTTGCAGAACGGGATTTTGGGCCTGCATGTGGAGCTGTTTGGTCTGAGGGGGCGCTTTTTGTGACAGACGCACGGGCGGCATGTGTTTGAGACTCTTCACTTTTATTCATGTAAATTTATTGTATTGCACATTGTATTGTAGTGCACACAGAGAGAGAGAGGGAGAGCCTCACAGCGGGCACAGCAATGAGCAATTGTTGACTGACAAGCGGGGCAAATGGAGCTGCCAACAGTGCTAGAGTGAGAAGGGGGAGTGGGGTGGGTGGGGGGACGACTGCTGAAGAAGCAATAGCAATACACTTCAAGTGGGTGGTTTGGGTGGCTCTGGGGGTGGTGCTGGCTTTTTTTCCAATGAAAAGTGTGTCATAAAATTAATTTTAAATTTCGCTTCGGTTTTCGCTGCTGCTTCACATTTTTTTTTTTCTATTTTTTTTCATCTTATGACTTTTTCATCCCCATGGAATCGTGTCAACCTTATGGACGCTTCAACAACTGCTGATGCTGATGCTTGACTACCTACGCCTGCCACGCCCACACCCACGCCCTTGATTACGCTGACACACAACAACAACAACAACAACATCTACAGAGGACACTCAAATTGTGAGCGCTGATGGATTTGACATTTCGTCGAGTAAGCGCAGTAAGTTGAACACGAAAGCCTGACAATATGCATCTCATTCAGTTGTTCAGCCAGCCAGTGGCAGTGGCAACGTTTTGGCCAAAAGGGGTTCCTTACACTCTATAGTTTTGATGTGACAAAAGTCAGAGCAGTGATTGCTCCAGCTCTAGCTTTGTGCTTAAAGTTTAAATGCTTAACGAGCCAAAAACTGTTAAGCTTCGGGGGGATGTTGAGTGTCGCCCGGGCTTGGGGTCGTGGGTCACGCTTTACAATTCAATAAACAATTGTGTTAAACTGTGCCGAAGGCCCTTAACAACAGCATCCAGCCAGAGCGCGCCGGATGCGTCAACGAACCAAAAACTTATTCATTCCAGCTGTGCTCCCCACGTATATACATATATATATACACTCTATATCTGTTGCTGATTTCGATATAGTTCTGTGTTCAATCTGCCCTCTTCAAACGAGAAAAAAAAAAGAAGAAGTGACGTCATTGTTGACGCTGAAGCAACTTAAAAATCACTTACCACGATTTACGCTGTCTGATTCATGCAACAAAGTCTGGCCAGCGCAGACCCTTGAAGCGGGGGCTGCCAGCACAGCAGGGGCGACCGTCAGGCAGGCAGGATGCGTTAGCACACACCCGCACATACACACAGTCTCAGTTGGTCCTACATAACTTAACTGCCTGGCCTGGCCTGGCTAGGCAAAAACGTGTTATTGGGCAAGACAATTTGCCTCTTGCTTGGGGGTTGCTTTTGGCTTCTGTGTGTGTGTGTGTGTGTCACAGGAAGTGACAAATGCCGATATATATATGTATGTATATATATAGGCATATATATCTAGTCAAGACCCATTCATAACATGCACATTTTGCGCTTTTTGTTTAACTTGCGGACCCCAAAAACAACAACGCAAAACAAAACCAAAAATTGAAAGCAAAATGCGAAAATAGAAAAACATTAAAATGACAATCACTTTAACTCACACACACCAACACACGCACACACACACACGTACAGTTAGGCAGAAGGGGGCGCGGCCCGAGATAAATCTATATCTGTATCTGCGCATTTTTCCGACAGCTTTCCCCATGGGCTCATAAATTCTAAACGCTGCATTTAGTTAAAAGGTGGCATAATTGCAACGCATCTATTAGCTAAAGCAGCGCTATAAAATGTAATGTTGTGGCCCATCAAAAGCAAATATCCACTTACAGCTATATAAGTCATATGCCATGTATCCATATCCTTGGCGGGCTGGGGCTTGGGGCCTTGATAAATGGCCCTTGGGTGCGGCGGGAGCATTGCTGGCCTGGTGGCATCGGAGAAAATGTGTGCTAAATCATGTTAATATGACTTTTGATTTCTGAAAACCCTCTCACTCTCTCCCTCTCCCTCTTTCTCACTCTGTGTGTGTTCTCATCTTTCAGTGGCACGCTGGTCGTCGTGGAGCGAGTGGAGCATCTGTTCCGCGGATTGCATACAAGTGCGTCGCAGAAAATGCCTGACGCATGCCACAATTGCCGATGTGGCAGATGAGGCCGGCGAGCTAAGCCCAGCAGCACTCAGCGGGAAGGATGATGGCGCCACTGGCGGCAGCCAGGGCGAGTCTGATGGCTCAGGATATGGCAAATCATTGTGCCTCGGCAAGGATATACAAACGGCCGAATGCCGTGGAGAGCAATGCCAGATTGGCAAGGATGGTAAGTGTGTTTATGACAACAACAGAGCCAACAGAAACAGAAACAGAAACAGACATAGAGCCAGCCAGCCAGTCAGTCAGCAACAAAGTAGACAGTTACCGACAACAAACAATAACAAACACACACACACACACACACACACACACACACACACACAAATAGACACAATCCAGACGAGAGACGGACAGCAGAGCGTAACACAGGCCACACACAATACAAAAGCTAAGCACTCAGCGCTGATTGTCACAATGGGAAATTAACCAAGTGCATTTTGTTTGTGCATATCTCCTGCTCCTGCTCCACACACCCCCTTCCGCTACTCCCACTAGGCCACCCAGACCAAAAGCATCTACGAAAATGCTAAAATAAATCAACCACCCAACTTTAGAAAAGGCCACTCAATCTGCACTTTTATCCAAATGCCAAAAAAAAATAGAGGGACAGGGAAGAACAACAACAAGCTGCAAGTTGGGTTTAACTGACTGCGGCATACGCGCTCACTGCTTCAGACTTTATATGTATATGCTTTCATCAATGTACAGTTTTCGTAATTTATACATGCAACTATAGAGTTTCTTCTCTTTAAAGTTTGATTGAGCTCTTCTTGAGTTCTTTAATTGACTTAAATCATATAAAATACCTCTCAGGAGGATGATATATGACAGAAAAGCTACCTATATCTTTATTTATATCTCTATCTGTCTATCTATTTATATTTTTACACAGATACTTTTCAATTTTGAAATGGTAAACTTATAGAAGAGATCATAAGTCACTCCCGATTAAAAGTGCCCATGAAAAGCGAATCTTTTGATTTCCCATCGTTATCAATCTTATCAATCCTATCTATATCAATCTATATATATATATCAATCAATATATCAATCTATTCCTTATCAATCTATAGAAATGTTGAACTTTAACTTTAGGAATATTGTCCTCGTTTGCTGAAAATATCACGAAGGCAGCTACCCATGATTTTTTGTCTAATTAAAGAAGTCAATCAGCAATTCTTAATCGCAAACTCTGTAGTTCTACCCATATGGAATTTTCGAGTATATCATCCAATTATATATTTCAGTTTCCAAGCAAAACTTTTGAGAGTTAGATTGTAGATCTAACCATTTCCCACCTACCATGTCGCTTTATCAATGAAGTTGCTCAAAATATTGTGCTCATTAACCAATATACCCTGTTAGTCTTTCACTTTCGTGAACAAGCATCCAACACAGTTTTAAGCAAGCTTGGCTAAATCAATCGCCAACCCTAGATTGGAAGCCATTAAAATAGCCATGGCTCTTGTTTATGCACTTTTGCCACATAATTAGGCATGCGACAAAGACATTCAGGATAGTATCATTCAGCGCTGTCTCTCTCTCTCTCTCTCTCTCCTCCCCTGTTAGTCTGCCCAACTTAACCCCAACTCTAATTCGTACTCCAACTCCCATACCAATACTCTGAGCACTTCTAGCAACCACTTTGAAGCTTTCGACGTGTCATTGTTGCTGTTTGTGCCACGATTTACAATCAATTGGCAAACCCAAATCAAATCTGATTCTTATTTTTTGCCCCCTTTTTGGGAGCTGCGAGAGAGTTGGGGGTCGGCTGGGCCTTAGCTGGTTCGGTCCATTGGGATCAATTATGCGACTGTCACAGTGTATAATTGAAAGGATCAGAATAGAGCGGTAGCAGAACAGTTCCAGCAGAGGCAAGTTCGTAAACCATTCAACACATCATCTTTGGTACATTTGCGGGTGGATTTTTTTTCTTTCTGTGTGTGCGTGAGTGTGGGTGATATGTATATATACCCTGTAGACGGGCATGAATGGTGAGTCGGACGGCAAAAGAAGTGAAATGGGAAACATAGAACGGAGCTTCGAAAGAGTACTCTGTATACCCTGTAGAGGAGACTTGCTGAAAGGCATAAAAGTCAATACTGTTCCCGTCTCCATTACAACTCATTCTCTCTCTCTCTCTCTCTCTCTCTCATACCCTGTAGACTTGACAAAAACTCTACCAAGGCTATAAGAAATCAATTTAGTGTTGCCTAAATTTCGCATTCCGTGCAGCTTGAACTTTTCTTTTAGAGAGAGGCATGTTTCTTCATTAGAGCACCCTCTTCGCGAATATGTTTTAAAAAGTTTTCCATGCGAAGTGTTTGCAAGAGATTTATGAGATTATTCTTATTTTAAAGTAAATGCACTGCTCACATGCTGAAAAGGCATTCGGGGTTTAAAAGGGATTAGAGCGGGCCACATAAGGCATCGTTCTCTAAGCTTTTCAGTTAAGAGTTTTTGAGAGGTATAAAATCTTACTGCCATTTCTTTTATCAAATACCCTGTAAATGCTTACCAAAAGTTTCATATGAAATATTTTATTGGGCAGCAGAAAATACTCCATATTTGAGCTTTAACTGAAGAGAGCCCTATACCCTGTATAAATAACTAAAACATGGAATGCTTATAGAGATTAAAGATCTGAGTAGCATCAAAAATATCTTTCTATCATTCTCTCTCTGTCATGCTCTATTCTTCAATTTTGATATCGCCCATTTCCTATTCTTGCTCTCTCTGAAATATCTCCACACGACTACAGGAGGACTATAGGAGTAATTCCTATTCGATCAATTGCAATTAACGGCCACTTTTTATGTTATTTGATTGCTGTTGAAAAGTTTCTGCGAATGAAGAGTGACACTTTGTTGGTTTTGACTTGAGCCTTTGGCTTATTTTCCATTTTATTACATTTGCCTGTGGATCTGCGTCGCTGTTGGGAGCCGAGGCTAATATCCGTTGGGGTAGCCCGGCGGTAGCCCAGCGCGGCTAGCTGCAACAGTTGAGACTTTGCCGAGGCTTTATTATGTGGCCATTGTGGCGACCGGCAGCTGGAAAGTGGACGGCGGAGCAGCAAGTACCAGATATATACTACATATAGATGTGAACGGGCTCTAATCTCTTAGCATGACAAATACGCTTTTGATGTCCCGAACAGGAGATGTCTAAAAAAAAAAAAAAAAAAAGGGAGAAGAGAGAAATCAGCATGCGAAATGCACTGCGCAAATGGAAAAGGGAAAGCACAAGAAAAACTCGCCAAAGTTGTAGAAAAACGGGCTCCATTCAGAGAAGCGAAGGATGCTTCCGATGCGAGCTCGCTGTCGCTGATTTACAGCGAATATAATTGCTCATTTCATACATTGTATAATGCACCCTGTGTGTGTGTGTGTAATAATCATAATATATATATATATATATATATATATATATATGGGGAGTAATTCCTTGCGCTGCAGCGATTCCAGGCAGCGCCAGCAACAATGACGACAACAATCACAGCAACGGAAAAAAGCCGAGTAACAACAATGGCGAGCCAAATGTTGGGGGAGTATGGGATGCGGTTTATAGGGTATACACATACATACATACATACGTATGGGTGTGCTGACTGCGGGGGGCAGCGCACAATAATGCGAAATAGACGCCAGTTTGGGGGCGAGCTCTCTGCATACAAACATAAAACATTAAATACAGACATATACACAGCCATAACCGAGAAGAGATACGTGGAATGGGCACTGAACGGATCGGAACGGAATGGAATGGTATGGATACCGCTACGCTTCGCTGCTCTGGATTGATGATGGCAACAGCAAAAATTGTTGTTGTTGATTTTTTTTTGCTTTTTGGTTTTTGGTTTTTGGATGCGACCGCGTTCTTGGTTTCTGCCAACTTTTCTGCGTAGACATTCCTTTTAAATACAAAAGACAAAGATTGCGATTGGCATGCAAAGGCAGAGGCTGGCAAATATCAAGGGATGAACTGGGTGGAGTTCGAACTGGGCCCTCTCGCCAAGGCGCAGATTAATACAAGTGAGAGTGGTCGAGCTGGGGCGCATGGATGGGGTGCGACTGACTGATAGATGCCCTGAATCATGTCTGAAGACAGCCCACACTCTGAACTATAATTCCTATATGGTTTTTGTTGACTTGAGATTAATCTATAGAGCAAATTTGATGGGTCTTGGGATGAGTCTAATGCAGGAATTCCTATGTTATCGGTTATCGTTTATCGATTACTAGGATTTTGTAAGCAATCTTCTGTAGTGCTTGTTGGTGGTAGTGAGCAACCCGGAAGACTAGTTCAAGAAAGCATCAGGAGGTATTCCAAAGTCTCTACTAAACTTTAATGAAAATTCAAAATATTATCGATAACTTAAATAAATGCTGAAGCTGCACGTACAGATCAAATCTGAAACTCTTATAGATATTAAGATTAAAGCGTTCGTGCATGCAGACTGACAGTTCGACTGACAGATGGACAGATAAAAGGATGGACGAACAAAGGAATTAAGGATAGAAAGAATTACATACGGACGGACGGACGCACAGATAAACTGCAAAGAAGTTTAGACATGATTGTTGAAGCAAGGAGCAATATACATGCCTCTCCCAAACATTTCCTGGCGAATTTCCTTTGTTACAATCACATAAACTTGTGAGAAACCAATGTACCCCACTTAAACAATGCCGCAATGGGTATAAAAATCAAAATCAGCAATTTTATAGAAACTTTCTTAACTTTAACTTCCATCTACTCTCGCTCTGTCTCGCTCACTCACCCGCCTACTCTTTCTCTCTCCCATTTCATTCACAGACTTCGATTGGACATTGTACTTGGGTCTGGCATTCATTACCGCCGTTTGCTTTGCCTTTGGCACGGCGCTCATCTGCTGCGCCCGCCGTGGCATACGTCACAATCCCCACTACAACATGGCTCGGTCAGGTAAGTCGCAGTCGCCGTCACTCGCTCACCTCAATTGAATCAGTTGATGCTGATGCTGATGCTGCTTCCGCTTTCTGTTGCAGTTATGGATGCGGATTATATGCCCGGCGTTGTCGATAAGAAGGAGATGCGCATGCACATCGAGGCGGCCAATTTGGGATACGATTATGTCAATCCCGGACATCGTTATTTGCCCGGCGACCACATCGTTGGCATGGGCTGTGCCGGAGTCACCGAACACCACTACGATGTGCCCAACCTGGCAGCGAAGTAAGTTCTCCCCAAATGTTTCGATCAATTCCTGTGCCTTAATCCCGCAAAGCGGATTACCACCGTAGACCGAGTGTATTTGGTTATTGCTATTGCATTCACTGCACAATTCGATATATAAGTAGATACGCTTTAGCTGAGATATATGTGGAATAAACTTGAAGTTGCAATACCTTTACAGAGACAGGCATGGGGATAGATTAAAGGATGAAAGTCTTGATGTAGATAAAAGACATAATTCTTAGCAAAGGTAAAGCTCAAAGTGGCTAAGGAGCCATCTTGAAATTGATGGTAGACTCCATGACTTTGCTAGATTGGAGAAACTTTACTTCCTTACTTCTTTGGCATGGCTATATCTATCTTAACATTTCCATTTGAGAATTTGCTCCTTCTGATTGACGAAACTTAATTGCTTATAATCTTCTTAGTTGAACTTATTAAGGATTAGAAATTCTCTGTTTATTTAGCCTTGTTTATCCGTCCGTTAGGCGTCTGTTCGCTACAAAAGAGCCACTAGGGAATATAAATTCCATATGCATATTCCTGTATATTCTATACACATATTTCTCCCTTAACTATTATCGATAATAATCGATTAGTTGATTCGCTAGAGATTTTTAATTTACTGCGCTGATTGATGCAATGAATACACAGATTATGAAGCAGAATTTTAATACCTCTGTCCCTCATCTTCACACTTCGCTCTTTCATATATGTACGTACACATGGAAAACACTGAGCTAACTCTTCTTGGTTGTCTGTCTTCTTTCCCCCACAGCTACACAAATCCTATAGATGATTTAAGCGCTGATTATCTATCCGAGACAGGCGACTCCTCCACAGCGGATACTTGTGAGTAACAGACAGCAAGTCAATAGACAAACTGGCACTAATTGAAAGTTTCCTCCCTCTCTCTCTTTCTGTTTCTCTTTCAGCTAATTCCACCTTTGATATGAACGCCAAGCTCTCCATACTGAACGCCTCGAAGAGCAGCAGCTACGAGCTCCTGGGCAGCAATGGGGGACAGCTGCGTCTGTACGGCGGCGAGCTGTTGCTGTTTGTGCCGGAGCTGGCGATTGGCAAGCACGTGAAGAAGCACGTCTCCCTGATGCTGCTGAGTGACGAGTGCAGTCGCATCGCCTGCGCCACCGACAGCTCCATCGTGTGCAGCAGCGTGGTGCACTGTGCGCCGCGCAACTACGGCTTCGTGAAGCCCGTGATACTGAAGATACCGCACTGCCTGCTCAATCCAGAGCAGTGGCACGTGCACATCTATCACGCGGATAGCGAGCACGACGATCTCAATGTGAGCTGGCGACGCGCCGTCTCCGTGGGCGAGGAGACCATCAATACGCCCATGTTTGTGCAGCTGGAGCCGAGCTCCGTTTACATAATGACCGAGCAACTGGGACACTTTGCCGTCGTGGCCGAGCCGCGTATCCAGCAGCCCGCCATCAAGATGAAGCTGCTCGCATTTAGCCAGCACACGCCGCCGAGCAGCGCCAACTGCAGCTTGCGCATCTATGTGGTCAAGGACTTCCCCAACAGCCGCGACATCTGCGCCAATGTCGAGTGCAAGCTGGGCGGCAGCTACCTGGGCGAGAGTCAGGTGTTCGCCTTCAACCTGAACAGCCAGAATCTGAATATACGCGTGCGCAGCACTGAGCTGGAGGCGGCGCAGTACGAGCATGCGATACCCTACCAGCACATACTGAGCAACAATTCGATACTGCACTGCGAGTTCAGTGTGCGGCGGCAGGAGCAGCACGCGCTCTGCGTGGACTTTGGCCAGGGGCACGAGCAGGCCGACTATCACAGCTTCAGCATGCCCGGACAGCAGCAGCTGTGCGGCTCGGCAGAGGAGCTGGCATCGACAACGAATACAACCATCTCGATCGATCGCCAGGGCAACTATGTGAACGAGAGCTGTGTGCTGGACTTTGTCCAGCTGCCGCATGCCACAAAGCGGCTGATATGCGCCGCCCTCGACCCGCCGCGGGCCGACGAGCGCGACTGGCGTCTGTTGGCCAAGAAGCTGAGCACCGATCGCTATATTGCGTACTTTGCCACCAAGCCATCGCCCACGGAGCAGATACTCAATCTGTGGGAGTGTCGGGCGAACAGCAAGGGCGCCGGCGGCATGGGCAGCTCGAGCAGTTGCTCGAACGGTAACAGTTCCACAGCCATCACGCATGCCAACAGCATTATGTCCTTGCTGCTGACGCTCAAGGAAATGGGCCGCCAGGATGTGCTCGATATAATAGTCGATACCATAGGTCCACTCTGGATCTAAGCAGATGTTGTTGAAAACAATAACGAAATAACATGTTCATGAGTTGCCTTTTATTTGAAAAATGTTTAAAAGAAAAGTGAAACGAAATGGAAACGAAACGAAATCAAGTTAAGTGAAAAGATGTGAAGGAAAAAACAAAAAAAAACAAAAGAAAACAAATTGAAAATCAAAGTTTTAGGCATTTAGTCATATTAGTTTTAACTACTATATATATGCGAGGTTAGTTTGAGAAGTATTTCGTTTTTATTTAAATTCACATGTGTTTTTTTTTTTTTGTTAGCTTCTCAACTTTTCAAGCTAACCTCGTCTTGCTCAACGAACTCTGTTCCCCAATGGGTGCCATGCTCTTTTTTGATACTACATTGAAAAATACATTAAATATAGAACTATATATATATATATAGAGAGAGAGAGAACTAGTTATAAGTTTACGATTTATGTTAACTGTAGCATAAAGTTATACTGTGGCTTAGCAAACTTATAGTTTTAAACAATAGTTTATAGCTATTAATAATTGAAAAAAAAAAGACTAGGGTATATAGGGCTGCTAACTAGGCTAGCTAAAGCGTTGCCAGATGGTCAAAATGCAAGCAGAGCAGCCATTGCGTATGCCTTTAGTATATTTATATAGGGTATAATTGAAAGACTGCCAAATCTGTGCAAACTTTGCTAGTTCAGTTGTTGCCAGATAGTCAAAATATGACAGTATAACTAATTTAGCAACCTATACGTATACCCTAAGTATATATTATAGTTAGGGTATCTGCGAGTATAGCAAAGTTATGCACTGAGTGTGCTAACTTGCTAGCCTAAGCGTTGCCAGACAGTCAACATTTGGCATTTATACTAAGAGAAACACAAAAGTTAGCAGCCTTTTCCATATACCCTCAGTATATTTATAGAAATCTATGCTAAGAACTCAAGTTTCTACGTCCTCATCCTCTATCCCCCCTATCAGATGGTAGCGCTGTCCATATATAACTCCTCTATATATGTACGGCGAAATTTGAAAACTGTTTGCCAAATCGTTGAATTTACTCAACCAACTCTAGTTATAGATCATAATGAAATGATATAGTACGCATATATATACAACCCACATATACAATATATAGAAAGCATATAGAATTTAGTGGAAAAGAATGAAAGTTTAAGAAAAACGAGTAGCTTGTTAGACATACTCAAGTGATAACCTTTGTATTTGTCTCTAGTTGATAAGGAAATCGAATCGTTAATCAAACAAAATAAACAACAAGAACAAAATATTTCAACAATAATACGAATATATAATGGCCCAATATGCATACAACTTAGTCATATATGCAAAATCGAATTACATCAAACTGTAGATGAAACATTGTAACTAAATCGAATTCAAAACAACACGAAAAGTAAAGTAAATAATAACAATACAAATAAACAGTTCCCGTTGATAAACGATGAATTATTTTATGAGAACATGCTGTAGTTTTTATGTATTTATAATATTATTTGATTAAATGACAAACAACTGAAAAAAAGAAATGCAATTGAATAAAGACGTTACTTACTGTAAACAAATATTTGTTTTAAACTTTTAAAAAATATGGGAAATATTACATTCAATTTATATAATCAAATTGATTCTTGATCAACTTTGCCAACATTCAAAATTTTTTAAAGCAAATATTCAACTCTATTAGTGTTGAGCACTTAGGAAAAGCCAAGGTGCATTGACCACAGTGAATCAAAGTTTCACACCACACAGTGCAGCCATATTGACCACACATAGGCCAGTCAATGTTCCTCTACGCAGAATTTGAATCAACCACAGACAATTACTTCACTTAGCAAAGTTTCAAATCACAAACAATGTCAATGCTCTCAAATTTAAATTCCATATTGACCACAGGTGGTCACCACATACTCTCTTAGCAAGGATTCGCACCATTTCGCTCATGTTCCCCACTAAATATTCTTGCACTTCACCACTATACTCGATTTAGCTAAGTTTCACACCAAAAGGTACATTCGCAGAGCTATCATAATCACCACACAGGCATATAAGTTTGCAGACAATTTATAATTTATATTCCCCACTAGACAAAGGACATATAGAGGCGCCACTGTGCAGTTGTTGTCTGAGCGCGTTGCCAGCCAGTGGCATTTCTATATAGGATTTATCGATTACAAATGGTTCTTGCAATGTTATCATATTACTTTTGGCGCGCAAGGATTTTAGTTGAAAATTCTTTTTGTATTTTTATTCACTTAAAGAAATGATAATTTAAATGATAAATTGCTTGTTTAGTTTTAGTTAGAAATGTTTCAAAATATTTATATTGCGTCCGGTTCACATTCAGATTTAAGATATTAAGTATATATATTAAATAAAAAAAATATATATACACACTGATGTAATACATATTATATATTTGTTTGAGAAAATTATAACTTAATCAACAAATTCGTTTAACTATATCAACATTATCAAACCTCTCTCTCCTCTGTCTCCCTCTCTCTTTCCCTCTTGTTTGCCTCACGCTATAAAATTTCACTAGTTGTTCAATAAAAATGTGCGGCCGTGGCAAGTATGCCAATGGTCGCAACAGATGCCGCACAGCAATTGCCAATGGCCAATTGCCATTGGCCAATTGGCATTAATAAAACAGAAATTAAGATACAATTATTAGTTTAGGCAATCAGACATACAGCAACAACAACAACAACAACGACGGCGACGACGACAGCAACAACAACAACAACAACATCAATTGTGGAGTTGCAAGCATTTTAACAAGCTCGCGCCGCAAACGTTGCCGAACAAATAACAAATCAATAATTTCATGCAACTGCCACAAAATGATTGCTGCTGCTCTTGCTGTTGTTGTTGTTGCTGCTGCTGCTACTGTTGCTGCATTGGCGGCTCCTTTTATATCCGAACGTATAAATAAATTTAAACGATTTGGGGTTTTTGCCTCTTTTAAGCCGCTGCAAATAGAAATCTACGAAGGCCACTTACAGCAAAAAGCGTGCAATCGATCGAGTGAAGCTAAAAAAAAATAAAAATAAATAAATAAATAAAGAAAGAAAAAGAGAAGAATTGACTCCTGGCAGCTTGTTGTTGTTGTTGTTGCTGCCGCTGCTACTGCTGCTGCTGCTGCTGCCGGTGTTGCTGCTGCGATTACTATTGCTGCTATTGATATGGCTCCTGGTGTTGTTGCTGCTGCGATAGCTGCTGCTGCTGTTGATATTGCTGCTGCTGCTGGTAGTGCTGCTGCTGCTGCAATTGCTGCTGCGTCGATTGTTGCTGCTGTTGTTGCTGCTATTACCGATATTGCTGCTGGCGTTCATTCTGCTAATATTGTTGTTGTCATTCGATTGCTGCTGTTGCTCCTTTCTTTTGGCATTGCTGCTGCAGCTGCTGATATTGCTACTGACATAATTGCTGGTACTCTGATTGTTAATATTGCTGTTACTAACTGCTGCTGCTCCAGCTGTTGCTGGTATCGCTCCGATTGCTCCTGCTGCAGCTACAATTGCTGTTGCTTTGATAACATTGCTGCTTCTTCGACGATTGCTGCTGCTGCTGCTGCTAGTCTTACTCTGTTTGCTGTTGCTGCTGCTCCGGTTTCTGCTGCTGCTCCAGCTGTTGCTAACGTTTTTTCTGCTTCTACTGCGATTGCTGCTGCTGCTGCTGCTGTCGCTGTCTCTGCTGCTGCTACTGCTGCTGCTGCCGCTGTCATCGTCAATTAGTTTTCTCACCGCAGACATAACAATATATTTTATGTATCGCTCGATTATTGGCCAATGTCTTGTGGCATCCTTGCCCAAAGCCGAAGTTCCTTTTGGTTTTTTGCATTTTTCCGCTGAAAAGGGCCAACGGCAACAAGCAGCAGCAGCAGCAGCAGCAACATTCAATAGCAGCATCAACAGCAGTCGAAAAATTTCCTAATTGGGTCGAAATTCCAATCTAACAACGATTTCAAATCGCTTTGACAATTTTTTGGCTGCTGTTTTTGGACATTTTCTGTTCTGTTCTTGCTGCGACTGTTGTTGTTGTTGTTGTTGTTTCCAACTTATTTTGACAGCCATAAAATTGTGCGACTTGATAGGGCTGCCTCTGCCACGACGTCTGCTGTTGCTGTTGCTCTTGCAGCTGTTGCAGTTGCAGCAAGGTGCAACTCGGCAACTATTGCTGTTGCGCGCTTTTGTGCGCACTTTTTGCATATTGATTATAACAAATGATATACTCTTTAGAGGGTTTTAGGCAGGGGTATACTGAACATATTTTTAGGGAATATATATTCAGAAAATGTATAATATTTATTATAATAAAATGTCATTATATATTAAGGTATATACTAATACGTATTTTTTCTACTTAACTGATAACTAATTAATAATTAAGCTCGATTTTGTTAAGTTTTTATACTACGTTAGAGTCCGAATATTATAGATTTTAGCTATATCCATATATTTCAGTGGAATTTGGGTATTATGCCAATAAATAAGTTATGCTTACTAATGGCTTCGATTAGCAGCTTTTTGAAGATATGAAAGAGATATTTAAATTGTTTAATATATAATTAAATATATATTTTAACTTAAAGTTAAATTTTACATGGGGCATACCCCACCTAGGAATTCCAACATTTATAAATTTCTGATGCATTTCCATAATTTGCTTTGCTTATTATTTATTTAATATTTTTCAAGACCTGCACAAATATGCCAAAGCAGCGGAAATGTGCACTTACAATGCAACATATACACAAACACACACACACAAACACACACACACACACAGAACACTTGAAGTAATGAGCAAATACTGAAAGCCGAAAGCGGAAGTTGACACGCCAGCTGGCAGCAATCAAAGCTGCAGCACGCACACACACTCACACATACACTCACACACACACAGGGAACAGTCCATCGACTGTGATTCGCATATCGTGTTCTATCACTTAGCCAACTAGCAATCTGGCCGTAAAGCCAACGAACTATCGATGTCAGCAGGCAGCAGCTGAAGGCGGCAGCAGCAATTTTTTTTCGCTTTGTTTTTCATTGTTTTTTTCCGTGCTTTGTGTTGCCCCTTTTGCATGCCACAAATCGCAAGTCTGTAATTTTTTGGTTGCAAAGCAAATTTCGTAAAACCTTTGATTAAAAATATCTGTGCAGCTGCTGCCATTTTGAATTTGTCGAGAAGCGGGCGTGAAACATGAATTATGTGGCAGGCGAGGCACAAGGCACTGCCACAGCCAGTGGCTGCTGTTGCTGCTGTTGCTGCTGCTGTTGCTGTTGTTGTTGCCACAAAAAGCAAAGCACAGCAAAGTTGATCGCGAGGCGTTGAAAGCGCTGGATAAGCCGCACACACACAAAACACAAAACAATACAAAATGCTTGCAAAGCAGAAAACAAAAAGCCAAACACAAAACAGACTAACAGAAACAGAAAAAAACAACAAGTTAAAACGAAAATGCTGCAACTGCTGCTGCTGCTGCTGGCTGCTGGCTGGCTGCAACATGT